AGGGGGAATTGTTAAAGAAAAAGAGAGAGGAGGAGGAGGAGGAAGAGAAGGAAGGAAGGAAAGAAAAGAAGGGAGGGAGGGAGGGAAGGAGGGAGGGAGGGAGGGAGGGAGGAAGGAAGGAAGGAAGGAAGGAAGGAAGGAAGGAAGGACTTCAAGTGGAGTCACTTGTGCTGAGCCCCACATCAGGAAATAAGGTTCATTATATAGTTTCAGCCTCTCCCAGGAATGTAATTTTTAACCAGTGTATCTAGAATTACCTGATCAGCACTAGTGAGGTAATCTGCCTGACAGAGTCCCACCCTGCCCCCAAAGGAAGGTGACCTTGTCTGAAACGTTCCACTCTTTTTAGAAACTTCTGTTTTCAGCTCTCGTCTGCTTATAAAAGCCTTCCGTTTTGTACAGCTCCTGGGAGTTCCTTTCTATTTGCTAGATGGGATACTGCCTGATTCATGAATCATTGAATAAAGCCAACTTGATCTTCAAATTTACTCAGCTGAATTTTATTTTTTAGCATTGGGCATAACACACTTGAACAAAATCTACAGGCAAAAAGTGAATAACTGTTAACTATTTAACAAATATTGACTATGTGCATCTGGAAGCAGGCAACTTAAAACAGAGCCATAGGCTGTTATAGACCAAAGAACTGAGACATGAGGAAGACTCAGAAAGCATCCAGACTACAAGTTCCCTCTTACAAAAAACCAGTAAAGTCTGTAAAAATCTCTTCTCCCACAGCAGCACAGAGCATCCTATTCAGTCATAACAGATACAGCTGGCATACCAGGAGAAAGGGCATGTCTCCAAGAAATTTGCACACCTGCATGAGTTTATCAACACCCAGTGAGAAGAGAAATAGCTCAAGCTATGGAAATATAGATGAAAAATAATGGACTTTAAGAACAGAGGTTTCAGTAACTGCAGACAGAGACTGGGAACCTCTGCAATATGTATATTAGTCCTGGTAACACAAACAGCAGACAAAACAAAACCAGATATACAACACAGAAATAAGACTCAGACCAGATCCGTAGACAACCAGTTCTCAGGGCCACATCCAATCCAGGTGACCAATGTTGGAAGTTAATATGAGAGCCACAGTAGCATTTATAGAATGAACTCCACTGATCAGAGAGAAAATATACTGTACTGAAGAATACCTATCCAGGTTAGGAGAAATAAAATGAATTAAACTAGTAAGAATAGGGGAGGATTTGCAAGTTGAGGAGACCTTCACAGAGACAGTCAAAACAGGAAGAAGCAGCCAGCAGGATTGTAGACTGCTTTGCATTCTTTCTACCACAAGAGGGAGGGAAGCCAAGAATACAGTTGGAGTTTGACCAAGCAGAGTTGAAATTTTGGTAGACTAAATTGAGCAAGCATGACACCAAGTTGCCCTGACAATAAGAACCCTCCCAGCCCCTTACAAAAATGTATTATCATGAGAAAAGCTATATGCAAATGAAGTTAAAAGTAACCAGCAGCAGAGTACACAAGGTCATAGGAGGCATTGGGGAAGAGTCTGTGTAGCAGAAAAGGGATGCAAACAGGATGAAACACTTAAATTGTATCTAAAACGGCTAACCTAGGTCCATATGCTTGAGAGAACTTCTGTGTACCGTGTAAATCTGAAGGTTCTAATAACTGGTTTGAGCATAACTGGTGCCAGTATATCTTACATATTTGTTGCCATCATGGAATAGAAGAGGTGCTGGACAGGGAAATAGGAGCCCCCCTGTTCCTTGTGGCCTAAGTGAGAAAATCCACCAATGGGGTGAATTGAACCTTCCCAGAATGAGTGGCAGGAAGGGCAACCAACAGTTACATTTGCATCTGATTGGTGGTGGCGGTGATAATGGCAGAGAGAGATTTTCTACACACAGAAACCTATGTATATGTATTACCTATATTTATAATACTGAGTTTATTAGTTGTGCATGGTTAATTCCATTGTGTGCAACCACTGCTAATAGCTATGTAAAATTCTGTCATTACCAAGTCTTGAGTTAAAATAAAAAGAGGACAAATACTCAGGAAATGCTGAGTTGGCTATTTCTTGCAATTTTTTCAGCCAACATCTTTCTTGGGCATCTCTCATCTCACACTTACAACGTATAGGAACACTGAAATGAATGATAAATGAATTAGGCTGTATTATTTATCTTCCTTTCTCCCTGACCCCCTGATCTCCTCTCCAAGCTGAATGGTTGGATTGGGATAAATTAAAAGCATGTGTGATGTAACTCCACTGTGTATGATGTAACTCTACCTCTCCCCAGCACCATGAAGAATGGACTACTCTGAACCTGCTCTTCCAGTAGCAGACAGTGCTAACGCCAGGATGAGCATCCAGCTTCTGTAACAGAGTTCTGCCTGGGTCATTCTTCATGCCCCAGTTCCCTGCTCAACTGACGCCCAGCCTTTGCTGGCTCTTTCTTCCTAAGGAGCCAGACCTTGTCCTTGTTCCACTGGCTGAAAAATGGGTGTCTTTTTTATCCAGTTTCTCCTGAATCAAGGTATAGTTACCCACCTATGACTATCACCTCTTCCTGTGGATTCCTGGCTCCCTGCCCCTAAATATAATGTTTTGGAAAGTAACTTCATTTCAAAGTGGACATACGTTCATTCTGCCCCATGAGCAGCAAGCTACTTTTGGAAACCAGCCCCACAACTCAACTAATTCCCTCAACCCTTGTTTTTCAGCCACAGGGGGTAGCAGGAGGTCAGTAAACTGAAATTCGGTGGCGACAAACTGGAAGTCAGAGGGAGTGTGAGTCTGTGGTCCTGGGAGCCCGTGTAATGAAAGGTTTCAGAGAATTAGCATCTTGACCTCTTTTCCTCCCTGCTTTCTCACTGGACCAAAACTAGAGAAGAGGGCAAGATCATTGTCTCTGTGTGACCTCCATACCTGTGTTATACAGGTAACTGGAGACAAATGGGAATTTAAAGAGAGCACCATGAAAGCAAGCATCATAGCACCCTTTTTCCCTCCACATTTCCCTAGTACCTAGTACAGTGCTTGGCATATAGCAGACGCTCACTTAATTATTTGTTGAATGAACGAATGAACAAAGGATCTAATGCAAATGACTGGTCATTCTTCAGCTGTGTTCATACTTGTCTCAGCACTATTTGAGCCCTGGCTCAGGAGGACCAACGGATCACACCTGTATGTTCAAATGCAACACTTCTCCTTCTAGGCTTTCAATGCATTTATCACATCACTTAGGTGAGTCTACACATATAACTGAAATGCATCACTCCCAGAGCCCCAAAATGACACCAGCCACTGTGGGGCCAGTGCAGAGATGCCTGGCTAATCTGAGTGACATGGCCTAAAGACATCCTTCATATCTCAAATAGGGAACAACTATACTCATCAGTCTCTTCTCCCTTCCCTCCCTCCTGCTACCCCCCACAACTGGTGAGAATTTCAGAATGTCCTCAAGGTGTTTCTAGGTCACAAATAACCGTTAGGCTTGCTGGGCATAAGCTTGTCTTTGGGACTTCTTCACTGCCCTTTAGAGCTTTAGCATAACAGCCTGTGGCTCTATTCTGTAAACCTCAGGCCTGAATTGCTCACCTGCATGGAAATGGATCTAGGTTAGTAAACATTTACTAAACACCCACTACAGGCCTTACACAAATCCTGGCTCTTCAGGCATTACAATCTGGTTGAGTCTCTCCTGGGACATAGCACTTCCTTTCCCTCCAGTGTGGATTATATCTAGAGATCCACAAAAGCGAAACCAAAGACAAAGCACAAAAACAAAAGCAAAGGGTGTTTTGTGTAAACTATACCGTGCCCCACCCAGTAAGTTTTATACAGATGGAATCAGGTTAAAAGGAAACAGAGGGCACCTTAGGGTAAAGGCAGCCTGTGAAAGTAGAGATAAGAGGCATGATCATTCCAAAGTACCTGCTTCAGGGTGGGCTGGCTGGATTCATATGAGAGTACAGACCTTGTAAGCACCTGTACAAAGGCAACCTACCCAAACTGTTTTGCCCACTTAGGTTCCCTTTGCATCAAAGCACACACCTCCCCGACCCCTGTCATTTTAGAACTTGAACTTTGCCCATGCCTTTCATAACTTGTTAAAATAGGACTCTGAGAGGCAGAAGATACTTCAGTGGTCACCCTGTCTAACTTGTGTCCCATGCAGGAGTCCCTTGCCATCCCTGACAGGCAGTTAGGCAGCTTTGTCTTATGCACTCACTCAGAACCTTCCAAACATACCCGATCATATGAATCACCAGAAGCACTTGTAAAAAGTATAGCCCACTAACGATTCAAAACTACACAAGATCAACACCTGCATAAAAGGGCCCGTAAACCTGAATTTTTAACAAGCATCCCCAGTTAGTCTTACAATTAAGCATGTTTCTTATGTGCATATAATGCAGTGGTTCTTGACAGTAGCTGCATATTACAATCAGCTAGGAAGTTTAAAAAAAAAATCAATGATGGGCCTTTACCCCTAGCCATTCCTACTTAATTTGTCTGGAGTGAAGCCCAGAAGGTATAAATTTTTAAAGCTCCTAGCTGATTCTAATCTGCAGCCAGGGTTGAGAACTACCGTAATATCTTTCCAACCTGATGGTAAATTCTTTGAAGCAACCAAGAAATCTATACCTTTTGGTACTCCTCACTGAACCCCACCACCATGTTGAACCTGTAGTAAAACATACTCTATCACTACTAAGTTGATCTGATATAACTAGCTTTGTTCACCCATCCAATGGGATGTAGCTTCCTAACTCTGCTGAGAAACTGTATACTTCCACTCAGCAAGAGGCCAGACAACAGCATACGAAGTGCTATGACTTCTCACAGTTGAGTCCAGCCCCACCGTCCCCACCGCCCCCATGCACACAAACTGACATATACACAGACATATCCCCAGCCTTCCCTTTCCCCAGACTAACCAGTCCAAACAATGCCAGAAGCCTCATTCTAGGGCTCTTCCCTCTGGATCCAGCCCCCTGCCAGCTCTACTCACATTGTACAGCACGGTGGTCCATCCTTCCATGGTGATGCATTGGAAGACAGTCAGCACAGCAAAAAGGATGTTATCAAACTGGGTGATCCCATCGTTGGGGCCAATCCAGTCCTTGCATTCATAACCAGCTGGGCAGCCCTGCACACCACATGGGTGAGGAGGGTCAAATCCTTCTAGAATACCTGCAGACACATTCAGAGGGTAGGGGATAAACCACATGATATTTTAGCATGACCTGGAAATGACCCTCAGGAAGCCACAAACACTCAATTCTATTTCTTTGTCTTGGGCTCCCACCTCTGGCTTCTTTATACCTCACAGCTTACATACTGTGTTCATCCCAGTGCTTCCCAGCTTCCTCTGAGGCCACATGGCCTTCACTTTCTTCAGGCTATATCTTCTACCCTTGCCTGAGTACCACAGGCATGGACAGACTGGATCGCATAGAGCAATCTGAGGTGAAGGCAGAATCTTCCTGATTTTCCAACTTCAGACTCAGTACAGACCCTGAGTTCTTCTCGGGTTTCTTGGGAACAATTATAAACTAAGTCCCTTCAGTGGGTCTCAACTCCTTGTTTTTCTGGCCTAAGTTCCTGGTCTTGAATAAGAAAAAAACAAAACAAAACAAAACTCCCAAGGTAGAAGGTGTCCTTTGACGATTTAAAAACAAAACAAAACAAAACAAAACAAAAACCAAAAACCAAAACCAACCAAACAAACAAAAAAACCCACATGATACTAAATTGGGCTTCTTCAACCTCTCCCTGACCCCCTTTCCTGCTAGGGTATTCTACTGGACTTGAAAAGAACAAATAAGATACAAAGAGGTACGGATTTGAGGTCTGTGAACCCTGCAAATTTCACAAGCACCCCTGGCAAGTCACGCTCAGAGCTCTCTCAGCTTTTCCACACTGTGTGTGGGTCACAGCAGGGAAGGAGGAAGGTCATGAGGTGGATCATGGAGGGAAAATGTCTCCACAGACCTAGAGACCCAAGTCTGACTCTGGGCTTCAAGGCCCGCCTGGCCTGTGGGCCAAAGAGGCTATTGTACAAAGGGTATTTCTTCAGACAGGTGGTTTTTGACAATCAGTCTGATAGCCTTCTACCATGGGATGGGGGAACTGAAACCTCCTGTTTGAAATCCTCTGACTGCAAACTTAAGAGGTCATTTGCTGTGCAATATCAGTGTCCCCTGGGGATCCTTAGTCTAGGCTGCTTGTGCCTCAAAAAGCTGCTGACTAGGAAGTTTGTGATTCTAATCCCAGGGCTGGGATAGAATATACTTTTCCACTCAGTCCCCCAATGACCTGAAATTACTCCAATGACCAGAGGGGAGAGGAAGGAAAGAAGGAGAAGGCAGGGAATAACAATCCTACCTGAACTGTTCGTGAAACATGCCCGGTGCAACTTCCCACTGTAGAACTCCAAGCCAATGATGGCGAACATCAAGATGGCAAAGAAGAGCAGAAGGCCAATTTGCAGAAGAGGCACCATGGCCTTCATGATGGACTTCAACACAATCTGTAGGCCTAGAAGGAAAGGAAGAGAATGACAAATGGAGCCTCCTCGAGCACCATGTGATATAGGAGGCTCCCTTTACTCTCTTCTAGGAGGAGAGGGGCAAGTCTTTGAGGGAAAAGAACCACTGGTCCTAAGACAATGAAGACAATTTGCAAAGGGACAACCAGAGCAGGTTGAGCTGAAGACTGCCATCACTACTTCCCCTGGAATCAATTCCATGTTCCTTCTCACCATTCCCTGATCCTTTACATGCCTATTACTCCTCCCTTATTTATTTCGCCCATGTTGCTTTCTGCTTATCTCTTATAAACTTATTAGAATGTGCTTCTTTCCTAAAGGAAATTAAGCCTGGCCTTGCTAGGCTCTAAATCTTATGAGAGCAAAGACAAAGTTTACCTCCCCCACTACTCTACCTGAAACCTGGCTTTCCATCCACTGTTTTAGGATAACAATTAGTACAATCACTATTCACAAAATACCATATACTTTGACCCAGAAGTTGTACTTCTAAGATCCTAGCCTAAGAAAATAATACCTCAAATAATAATTTGAATAAGATTTAAGAAAAGAGATGTATGTCGCTGCGCTATTTCTAGTGGGGGGAAAATGAAAATAATCTAATGTCCAGTAGAAATGACTAAATAAGTCATCTTGTATAAGATGGGCTATAGTACAGACTTTTTAAAATATATTTTTGAGGAATTTTTAGTGTCAGGAAAATCAAATGCTTATATGATAGGATCCAAAAGTATACACACAGTATGATCACAATTATGTTAAAATGCACAGGAAAAAAATGAATTAAAAAATAGGATAATGAGGGTGTTTCCTTTTCATTTTACGTATATTTTTTTACTTTGAAAATTTTCTCCAAAGATCTTTCACTATCTTTAAATTCTGGAAAAAAAGTTGCTAAGTTTTAGAGTGAAATGTTTTCCCAGGTTGCTGCATCCCCATTCTTTTTTACCACTGGAGAAATAGCTTCCTGTTTATCATTTCAGGAAAGCCATTAACAGAAGAGAAGGAAGAAAGGCAAGTGCTCACTAGGTATCCCTGACACGAGCTTCAGGGGCCTCAGGACACGCACAGCCCGAAGGGTCCTCAGGTCCACATGTGTGTTGAAGTGGGTTCCTGCCGTAGCCAGGATGCTGCAGATGGAAACAAAGAAGGTCAAGGTTATCACCGTCTGGCTTTCTCCTCCTGTTCCATGGGGGAAGCTGGGTTGAAGAAGGATCAGCCTGGAAAGTACACAGAGCTGATGCCAGCTGTGTGTGGGTGCACCTGAACTGGCGTGAATCATCAGTGGTTCCGACTGAAATTATATTTAGCCACATCTGGGTTTTACTTTGCAGAGGGAAAACTCGTCATTACATCAGAATCCTGGTTCCCAATCATGAGTAAAATACAAGCTCTCTAGCATCTATCCCGTTCCTGCCTCCAAACTTTGCCCCCTCCTCTCCTCTCTATCCCTCACCAACCTCCTTTCTCCCTTTCCAAACTACTGAGGCCCCTGGATTTTTTATATCAGAATTCGTAGGTTCCCCTGTCTCCTGGCTACTTCAGGGAATTTCCCTGGATCAGCTGCAGTAAAGGAGTAACTCACTCTTGTTCACTTTGGCAATCAAGAGTTTTTACCAAACAAATCAATCATACTGATGCTATAACTATGAGTGTTCTATAGCTATAATGTGCAAACTGGATATTACGTCCAACACAAATATTAATAATACTATTTTTGCAACTTTGTCTAATTTTAGTCTTCTTTCTGTGGAATAGTACCTGTCTTCCCTCCCAACCTCTCCACAACAATTTCAGCTGTCTGGAGCCATGGGCAAATAAGTCACTCAGAAAACTGAGTTTTCTACATAGTCAAAGGGTGGCAGGAAGAGTTTATGTCATTTAATTATCTTTGGATGAAATACTTCCTTCAATACTTGAAATCTAACTTGAATGAAAGGTTTATGCTGTACACCTCTAGAAAGCAGCTAGAGTATCGATCGGTACAAATGACACAGATCCAAGACTCTACAACTGTGAGCAATAACTTTGAAACAAGCCATGCTGCCCAAGAACAGGGGGACTGTTCATGTGGTAGTACACTTCCCAACATTAAACGTACTCAAACACAGACTGTAACTTTCTATTAGGAAGTTAAAAATGTTCCAACATTGGTTGAAGGTTATCTAAAAAACCAGTAGAGATTTCTCTCAACTTTAAGACTATAATCCTACATTAACCCAACCTCAAGATAAGAACCAGAAAGAAACTCTACTCGCATAAAAGATCTCAGGAGCTAGGCAAGCTTCTCAGGTCTTCTCTACCTCTCCTGACCCAAACTTCCATACTGCCCTCTGAAAAAAAAGGGATTTAGAGGAGCCACATCTCTGATGCTGCTTTTGACTCTGCCAATGCCAAAGAGAGAAATTAGGGAGGGAAGTGATATTATTTCCAATAAGTAGGGAAAACCTGAAGAGAAAAGAGAGCAGAAGAAATGTGGAAAATGGGACTGAAAAATAAAACAGGCAAAGAAGCAAATAAAGGGAAGAGGAGACAGACAAACCTCAAGGCTAAGCATAGTGATAGAGAATCAGAACCCCAGGAAAACGGGGTCATTGTTCTGCTGAATCCACTAACAGAGGAAGAAGCACCATACTCTGAGTCTTCTGAGGTGCATTGCACATGGGAGACAGCTCTCCCTATGGTTTGCTCTGTCTTACAAACGCGGTGGGGAGAATCCGCCCTGTTCAGAAACCAGAGTTTTGTTTCCAAGGATACCCAGATACACACGAGATGCTCTTTCATATCATAAGAAAGAGCTACTGAAAAGGAAAATTTCCTCCCCAACCCTGAGCTGAAGGAGGTATATTTCAGAACATGGAGGTAGAGTCCAAAAGACAAAATTAAAAAGCAAGAAGGCACAAGTGTGGAGAGAAATAAAACTGGTAGAGGGGAGGGAGGATAAGAGGACAGGGAAGTGAATGGTGAAAGGAAACAGGGACATGAAACCAGGAAGGAAATAAGAAGAAATAAGAGCTTGTGGAGAAGCAAATGTCAGAGAAATAAGAATTCTCATGTGGGAAAAAAAATAACAGTGAAGCTAATTTGAAAGAGAGAGAGGCAAAAATATGGCATTTGTTGCCAGAGGCTTGGGTAGTGACCCATAAGACACATCCATGCTCTTTTCACCATGTGTGGCCCTCAGCTGAACCAACCTGCCCCCCAAGTCATCTAAGCTGCCCCAAACTTTAGCCAGGACTGTGCTGCCTGGGGCCCATGCTCCCCCAGCCCTTGGAATTTTCTTTTCCTTCATCCTACCCTTTGACCTTGGGTTCTGTCTTAGCCTCCTCATAAACTAGGTCTTTAGCTCATGCCCATTGGCCAATGGCTGCTTCCTAGTGTTCACATCATGTTAGAGGGTAGGAGTTCCTGTCCACCTGCTAGAAGTAGGGGCAATGGAATTCTTAGGGGGTAAAGATAATTGAGGAAAAAGTCCCCATAGAATTGTGTCCACTGCCATCACTGCCCTTACCACATCTTAGAGAGAAATTCTGTTTTCTCTGGTTTCTCATCTGTCTCTCCCACAAAATCCAAAACACCTCAAGTGGAGGCACTGTCCTCCCCATCTCTATCCCCACACCTAGCCCAGGGTCTGGAAAGTTAAAAGGTGCTCAATGAATACTTGATGGATTGAACTGCACTGATGAAGGTAGTAAATGTGTTGAAGCAGAAACCAAAAGGAAAGAAGTACCAGAGAAACCCTAGAGTTTACCAATGATAAAGGCAGGTGGCAAGCCAGGATGCTGTTCCAACACATGCCTGTTGGAGCACATGTACCAGAAATCTGTCCCTGAGCATTTTAGAGTCTAATAAGGATCTTCCAATATAGTTTAGGACTCCTGCTCTCAAGGAGACCCCACAGGACAGGATCTGCTCAGGAAGAGAGTTAGAGAGGGAAGGAAGAAGACTCAAAACGTAAAGACCTGCCCTTCAGCAAAGCCTCAGTGCTAAAGTCCATACGCTCGGCAAAACTCTGGGCCTCAGATGTACGCAGGAGGTTCAGGGCAAGTCCACAGTAGGAAACGGCCCAGGTCCTCAGTCTGGTGGAAGTGGACAGACACAGAAATGAAATAATTATAATTCACCATGAAGAGTGCCATAACAGAGATGTTTACAAAGTGTTTCAAGAATGGGAACACTGCAGGAACACACATAGGGCTCACTATCTACTAGCATCTTTCACATACGTTATCTCATTAAATTCTCAAACATATCCTGATATTACTACTGTTTCCACTTCATAGAAGAGGAAATTGGGACTTCGAAAAAATTATGCTAATAAATGGCAAGACTAGGCATTAAGGTCCTTTCCCTTCTGATATCAAAGCCAAGCCTTTGCCCACTCTGCCATTATGCCATGCAATGTCTTCTCAGTACTGCACAGCTCCACTGTTCTTTAGTCCAGTACATTGCTAAAAATACCAAGGTCACAATACGTAGTCTCCCAACAAGCCAGTGAGCTCGGTTCCCTTTATCCCCAAACCACAAATTACTAACTCCCACAGACTTTTCACTGACACCTCTCCGGACGAGCAGGTCAGATAGAGGCTCCTTGCACCTGAGGTGACAACGGCTATAATATCCACATATACACACGTGAAGAGACAGTTATGCCACAGAATCAGAGTGAGGCCGCTGCGCAAAACTCTAATTCTGAGTTAATAAAAGCCTAAGCTCTGCAATCCTATGCAGCATATGTGAGTACTCTTCAGAAACAGCGGCTGTGTTTTCCATTTCTTTTGTCACTATGAGCACAGGGTCTGGGTGGAGAGCTCTGTACATAGAGGGGTGCTTAGTGACTACCCCCAAAGCAGAGGACAGACACAAACCTCTGACTATGACCAGGACAGATGCAGGATTCTGCACACTATAAATGTTCAAAAACTGTTTCCTAGCGGATGTCATGGTTCAGACCTACCTCTAATGCTTTCGCTCTTAGCTGTCAGCAAGTAAGAAGAGTCTAGAGCCTGATATGATCCTGAGGGTCTTGTGTGCCCATTACAGCAGGGGCAGAAGATGGAACAAATGCTCTGAGCAATCCCAACCAAATGACCTCTCCCCGAGTCAATTACGCAAAGAATTCTCCCACCCTGGAGTCCCTTTGACCTTGGGTTCTGCCTTAGCCTCTTCATCAACCCAGGTCTAACAGTCTCTTTTCACACTTCCATGGCTAAAAATTCCCTGAAGCATTATGCAAATATTACACTAAAAAATTATCCGTTGCTTATCTGCAATTCAAATTTAACTGGGCATCCTGTATTTTTATTTGCTAAATCTGGCAACTCTATTCAAGGGATGACCAGGTAAATAGCTTCCCTCCCAATTGTTGCACTAGCCTTAAACAAGTGTGTAAGTTCTCTTTTGAAGAGGAGATACAAACCAGGGGTCTCCTACCCTTAGGCCCAAAAGTTCCTCCTGAACTCCCAAAATTACTTCTTTGCTTCCGCCCATATAAATCCCAAGGGAGAAGTTCATTAGCCTTCGAAAGGCAAATTGTTCATCAGCATCTATGCAAAAAGGCTGATTAATACTAGCAAAAGGTATTAGGTGCTTAACCAGCCCACATTGTAAGAAACCAAGAGGAGACAGGGAGGGACCTAATTCAAGTTGGATTCCCAACACAGTTTGAGCCAGGATATCATTTCCATGGGTAATCCACCAAAATGAGTTGTTGTGTCCACTTAGAAGTGTTTCAGAGGTGATTGGCTCCTTCTTCTCTTCTACAATTTTACCTCCAACGAGGCACCGAAGTCTAACATATCCTTCCTTTAACACATCTCTTGGATTCACCTCTTATTCTCCCACCTCTTTCTTGCCTGGAATGCCCACCCCCTTGCCTTGTCTCCCTGCCTAAATAATATGATCCAGACTTCAGAGCCAGATGGCATCCTAACTCCTCCTTGGAAAAGATCTACAGGCAAAAGAGAGTTGAACTAGGATGATGAGGAAGTGGTAAAGCACATGCTCTCCAGTCATACTGGCTGGTTTCAAATGCCTGTTCCCTCACACAGCTGTCTTGCCTTATGCAACTGCCTCTCTGAGCTATAGTGTTATTATCTGTAAAATGGGGACAATATTTTCCTAAGAGGGT